CGGAAGCTCACTCCAATCCGAGCTGGCTTCAAACTCATGACCTCTCGGTCAGTAGTGATTTAATGCAGGTAGCTCCCAGCTAGCTGCGCCACAGCGCGGTCCATATATGTCAAAGTACATTTGTCTGCACTAGGGCTGGGCGGTTTCATTCGTTAATTTCGTAATTCGTTATTAGTTTGTTATTTTTTTTATAACGAAGCGATATTGAACCATCCAGGAGCAACTAAAAATCGAAACGAATTTTTCAATTCGTTTCGTAATTGTTTCGTAATTGTTTTGAAATCGTTTCGAAATCGTTTCGTTATTATTTCCGCATGTCTGGTGCAAGTTTTATAGTTGTTGTTTGTTTTATCAGTGAAAAAAATATATAATTATCACACCAACAGTCAACAACAGAGGGAGAGGGAAGCTTCAGAAGTTCCCCCTGTCCCATTTGGAGGTTTTTTAGCGTATTGCGCGGTCGCGTCCGCCATTAACGAATCGATTCGTAATTGTTTTGTAATTTCCGAAATTTCGTAAATTTCGAACTTTTTAAAGAAAAATTTCGGAATTCTTTTAAAAATCGAAACGCAAAACCCCCTAAAAACGAATCGAGTTTAGAAACAAATTTTTCCGTGGTTGCCCAGCCCTAGTCTGCACCAAAAAATAATGTTGCTAGGTGAAGTGGCCCTCTGGGGGTGAAGACAGAAAGTATGCAGAGAAGGGAGGGAGGGAGGAAAGAAAGAAAGAGGGAAAGAAGGGAAAGAAAGGAAGGAAATGGAAGGAAAGGGAAGAAAGGAAGGAAGGAATGTCAGGATTATTTAGTTATGTGTGTGTGTGTTTTTCAATGTGCTTCTATGTAATTCAAGATGGATTAAGATGTATTTCAAGATGGATTCTATTCTGTTCAATTGTGTATTAGAAATACTGTGCTGAGGCTGTGAAACTGTAACCTTGACAGAAATGAGATAACGTGTTCTCTGGCTGGGAAGAAGAGGGAGGAACTGGTCTCAGCCAGAAGTCAGATAAGCAGATGTTCAGAGACTGTTGTTTTTGCCTAGGAGTTCCTGTCTGTAGCTTGCTGTGAATAGATGTGTGTAGATGTACTTAGTAAAACTTAGTTTTCTGTTATAACTAAAAGTCTGCAGAGTCCTGATTTCTGAACACAGTGTCTGCTGATCTAGCAATCCTTCTGCTGGCAAGCGTCAATACTCTGACAAGGAAGGAAGGAAGAAAGGAAGGAAGGAAGGAAAGCAGGGGGGCACTGGCAGTTTCAGCACTTAAGCAATGCTGGATACTAGGGCTGGGCGGTTTCGTTTCGTTAATTCGTAATTCGTTAAAAATTCGTTATTTTTTTGTTAACGAAGCGATAATGAACCATTCTGGAGCAACTTAAAAACGAAACGAATTTTTCAATTCGTTTCGTAAATGCTTCGTATTTCGTTATGTATTCGTTTCATTATTGGTTTAGTTGTTTTTTTTTTAATTAGTGAAAAAAAATTATAATATCACACCAACAGTCAACAACAGAGGGAGAGGGAAGCTTCAGAAGTTTTTTTAGCGTATTGCGCGATCGCGTCCGCCATTAACGAATTGATTCGTTATTGTTTCGTTATTGTTTTGCAATTTTTTTACCATTTACGAAATTTCGTAAATATCGAACTTTTTTAAAGGAAAATTTCAGAATTCTTTTAAATATCGAAAGGCAAAAAACCCCAAAAAACGAATCGATTTTAGAAACAAATTTTTCCGTTGTTACCCAGGCCTACTGGATACATAATATGCACTACTCAAACTATAAAGAGAGAGGGGTCTGACCAATGTATGATGATGATGATGATGATGATGATGTTCATTATGTTTAATTATACCCACCTTTTCTTTCTCCACAAGGAGACTCAAAACATATTAGAATATGTTGTTGCTGTTGTTGTTGTTATGTTTATTATACTCCACTTTTTCTCTCCAAAAGTGTTTACATCAAAAGCATTGCAATACAGTTTAAAAACTACTAATATACGAACATTAAAACAGGATTATGGATATTTTAAAATAATTCAGTTGAAATCCATAAAAATGAGGGGTACACGAAACGGCGGAAATCCGTTCTGTTTTTGTTTTGAAATGACAGAAACCCATTCTGTTTTCAGGCAGATTCTTCCCAAAACGGAAACGGAACTCCAGATCCCGAATTACGAAACCGAACGGCGCCCCTCCTAATCTCCCGGAATTGTCCAGAAATTCGAAACAAAAACAGAACAAAAACAGGATAGATTTCCACTATTTTGCAGGATAAAAACATATTCAAAACTAGATGTCAGTAGCGTGTTCCTCGCGGAGTATTTTGATCCCGGAGCATTTGTGTTTCCAGGATTGGTTAGGGTCAAAGCTCAAAGTCTGACAGAAATCCATTCTGTTTTCAGGCAGATTCCTTCCAAAATGGAAATGGGACTCCGGATCCCAAATTATGAATCTGAACGGCCCACTTCCCAATTTCCCTGAATCTTCCAGAAATGCAAAACAAAAACAGAATAAAAACAGGACAGATTTCCGCTGTTTTGCAGAATAAAAACATTCAAAACGAGTTGTTGGAAGTGTGTTCCTCGCGGAGTATTTTGGTCTCGGAGCATTTGGGTTTCCAGGATTGGTTAGGGTCAAAGCTCAAACTCTGACAGAAATCTGGATCCTGAATTACGAATCCGAACAGCCCACCTTCTAGTTTCCCGGAATACAAACATATTCAAAACTAGATGTCGGTGGTGCATTCCTCGTGGAGTATTTCGAGCCAGGAGCATTTGGGTTTCCAGAATTGGTTAGGGTCAAATCTCACACTCTGACGGAAATCAATTTTGTTTTTAGGCAGATTCTTCCCGAAATGGAAATAGACTTCCAGATCCTGAATTACGAATCTGAACAGCCCACCTCCTAGTTTCCCGGAAACGTCCAGAAATTCAAAATGAAAACAGAACAAAAACAAGACAGATTTCCACTGTTTTTCAGAATAAAAGCATGGCCAAAATGGAAACAGAACTCCAGATTTCGAATTACGAATCCAAACAGCCCACACCCTAATTTCCTGGAATCGTCCAGAAATTCAAAACAAAAACAGAACAAAAACAGATTTCTGCTTTTTCATGGAATACAAGCATATTGAAAACTAGATGTCAGTGGTGCGTTCCTCCTGGAATAGGGTCAAATCTCAAACTCTGACAGAAATCAATTTTGTTTTCAGGCAGATTCATCCCGAAATGGAAACAGAACTCCGGATCCCGAATTACAAATCCGAACAGCCCACCTTCTAGTTTCCCAGAATCGTCCAGAAATTCAATACGAAAACAACAAAAACAGGACAGATTTCCATTCTTTCGCAGAATAAAAACATGTCCAAAATGGAAATGGAACTCAGGATCCCTGATTACAAATCCGAATGGCCCACCTCGTAATTTCCCGGAATCATCCAGAAATTCAATACGAAAACAACAAAAACAGGACAATGTATTGTTGAACGCTTTCATGGCCAGAATCACTGGGTTGTTGTAGGTTTTTTTGGGCTATATATCCATGTTCTAGAGGCATTCTCTCCTGACATTTCACCTGCATCTATGGCAAGCATCCTCAGCGGTAGTGAAGTCTGATTTCCACCAGATTTCTGATGGATTTTCTGACAGATTTCCTCCGTTTTGCAGAACAAAAACATGTCCAAAATGGAAATGGGACTCCGGATCCCAAATTACGAATCCGAACGGCCCACCTCCAAATTTCCCGGAATCATCCAGAAATTTGAAACGAAAACAGAACAAAAACAGGACAGATTTCCGCTGTTTTGCAGAATACATTTGGATTTCCAGGATTGGTTAGGGTCAAATCTCAAACTCTGACAGAAATCAAATTTGTTTTCAGGCAGATTCTTCCCGAAATGGAAACGGAACTTCGGATCCCGGAATCCGAATGGCCCACTTCCAAATTTCCCAGAATCGTCCAGAAATTCAATACGAAACCAACCAAAACAGGACAGATTTCCGCTGTTTAGCAGAATAAAAACATGTCCAAAATGGAAATGGAACTCCGGATCCTGAATTACAAATCTGAATGGCCCACCTCCAAATTTCCCGGAAATGAGCAGAAATTCAATAAGAAAACAACAAAAACAAGACAAATTTCCACCGTTTTGCGGAATACAAAGAAATTCAAAACTAGATGTCGGTAGTAGGCTTGGGCGGTTTCGTTCATTATTTTCGTAATTCGTTATTAATTCGTATTTAAATTAGCTTACGATCCAATATTGAGCCATGCAGGAATAGTGTGAGGAGTAAATTAGATTCGAAACAATTTTTTCAATTTATTTCGTAATTATTTCATAATTATTATTTCGTAATTATTTCGTAATTATTTTCGCATGTCTGGTGCAAGATTTATAGTTGTTGTTTGTTTTATCACACCAACAGTCAACAACAGAGGGAGAGGGAAGCTTCAGAAGTTCCTGTCCCATTTGGAGGTTTTTTTAGCATATTGCGCAATCGCGTCCGCCATTAACGAATCAATTCGTAATTATACGAAATTTCGTAAATTTCAAAATTTTTAAAAGGAAAATTTCAGAATTCTTTAAAAAAACGAAACGCGATGGACCCCTAAAAACGAAACAAGTTTAGAAACAAATTTTTCCGTTGTTACCCAAGCCTAGTCGGTAGTGTGTTCCTTGAGGAGTATTTCGATCCCAGAGCATTTGGGTTTGCAGGATTGGTTCTCAATGAACCTGAGGGTCACCAATCAAACTATGAGATATGGTCGGGAAAAAACCAAACAAACTGCAATCCCCTTTTGTGCAAAATATGCATGAAATCCCTTCCCATGCTTGGAAATGAACTCGCCTGTCGAGTCATTGTCAAACAGCTTGCTAAGCAACTGCAAGATTTTGCAACGATAAGCTAAAGACGAGAGCGAATCCTCGTCGAGCAAAGCAGTGAAGAAACAAGCGAGGCAGCGGTGAAGGATGCAAGCGCTTAATAATCTGGAATGGAAAGGAGGGTGGGACATAATGAGCTGTCAAGAACTGACAGCCTTAGCAAAGAGTCAAAGGCTGAAAAATGCAAGGAGAGCCATTCACCTCCTGAAGTAACCAGTTTGTTTCCCAATGGGATAATTATGTGGGAGGCAGACGAAGTTTGACTATAACTTGGGAGACTTGAGCAGACGTCGCGCTCGGAAGGGAGACACCCGGGATGAGAGGCAGCCCTTCCTTCCTTCCGTCCGACAGCATGGAGTTCGGCTCGGCACTCTGGATGCTGGCCTCCTACCTCGGCCTTACCGCCCTGTTCTTCCTGCTGGCCTGGGGAATCTACTACGATATCACCCGGACGTACGTCCCCACGGACATCCAGCAATACGCCAAACTGCGCTTCTTCAATTTCCTCTCGAAATATGCGGTCGGACTGGTGAGCGCCCCCCAATTTCATGGATAGGTTAAAGGTGTTCCCCTGACATTAAGTCCAGTAACTCTATTCATGATCTTTTCTGGGATTCTACGAAGGTTTTGTAATAGAGTGGGGTGAAGCCCTCTGGCCCCGGGGCTTTATTCAGGGTTAGTTTTTAAATTGCTTTTTTTTATTTCCTCCATGGAAATCCTCCTATTGATTGTCTCTCATCTCCATTTCTAAGCCGAAGAGCCGGCGTTGTCCATAGACACCTCCAAGGTCATGTGGCCAGCATGACTTCATGGAGTGTCGTTACTTTCCCACCGGAGCGGTACCTATTGATCTACTCACATGTGCATGTTTTCGAACTGCTAGGTTGGCAGAAGCGGGAGCTAACAGCGGGAGCTACCCTGCTCCCCAGATTCAAACCTGCAACCTTTCGGTCAGCAAGTTCAGCAACTCAGCGGTTAATAATAATAATAATAATGATAATGATAATGATAATGATAATGATAATGATAATAATAATAAATATAAATAACAATTATGCTGGGGAAAGTGGAAGGCAAAAGGAAGAGGGGCTGACCAAGGGCAAGATGGATGGATGGCATCCTTGAAGTGTCTGGACTGACCTTGAAGGAGCTGGGGGTGGTGACGGCCAACAGGGAGCTCTGGCGTGGGCTGGTCCATGAAGTCACAAAGAGTCGGAGACGACTGAACGAATGAACAACATAATAAATATAATAATAATAATATAATAAATATAATAAATTTAATAATAATATAAATATAATAAATATAATAATAATAATAATAATAATAATAATAATAATAATAATAATAACAATAATAATAATAATACCCACTGCACCACCGGGGGCTCCTAATTTCATGTATATGTACATGTATATGTATATGTATGTGTATGTGTATGTATATGCATATATTTATGTGTGTGTACGTGTGTGTCACAGTCATGGTCTAAAATTGTTGTGTTGCATGTGTTAAAAATTGATATCGGTTCTATAAGTCCTTCAAGATCTGAAGGACCCTGGTATCCACAAGGTCTCGTTACAGTACAGTTTGAACCCAGTATCCACAAGGTTTCATATATGTGTGTGTGCGCGCGTTTATTGTGTTCATGGTCTAAAATTGTTGTGTTAAAAATGAATCTCAGTTCTTCAAGTCCTTCACGGTCTGAAAGGTCAAAGTGGCTCCGGTATCCACAAGGTCCCATTACAGTACAGTTTGACCCCAGTATCCACAAGGTTTTGTGTGTGTGTTTATGTATATTTGTCAAAAATCGTTGTGTGTTTGTTTATGTATATTAGTTGAAAATCGTTGTGTTGCATGTGTTAAAAAGGAGTATAAGTTTTACAAGTCCTTTATGGTCTGATAGGTCAAAGTGGCTCTGGTATCCACAAGGTCCCATTACAGTACAGTTTGACCCCAGTATCCACAAGGTTTTGTGTGTGTGTTTATGTATATTTGTGTTCACAGTCGAAAATCGTTGTGTTGCATGTGTTAAAAATAAATCTCAGTTCTTCAAGCCCTTCACGGTCTGAAAGGTCAAAGTGGCCCTGGGATCCACAAGGTCCCATTCCTTTCAGTATGACCTCAGTATCCACAAAATTCTATTACAGTACAGTATTTTCCTGGTATCCACAGGATTCCATTACAGTACAGTGTCAGCTCACGGCAGCTGGTTCAATGATGACACGAGACTTCCATCGTAATCAAACAAAGACCTTTACTATCGGACGCTTAGAATTCTGCACGCAGCTCCTCTCTCCTCTGCTGTAGGTGCTGGAGCTGCATTCCTTGGGCACTCGCGTGCGCCATTCCCCCTGGGGGTGCGGGTTGTCCGAATGACGCTCTGGCTTGCCCCGTGCCACGCCCTGCCCCGGCCGGGGCCGTTAATGTAAGGGGCTGTGGGGTTGTTGCCGCTCCTTGGGGTATTCCTTCTCCTCCGTCGCTTGGGGCCGCTTGGATCCTGCGCCTCGCTCCTAGGATTTGGCTGCTCCCCGCACTCGCGTCCCACGGGGATTCTGCGCGAGGCTGGTGTTCCTCCAGCAGGGGGGGCAGGCAGTCCATTAGCCTCGACATCATGGCTAATGTGGTTTCCGTGGCTGCCACCCTCTCCTCCAAGCAGCCGTACCTCTGGGGCATGGTGAAATCCATGTCTCTGCTGCCTCCTCCTGCGACCTCCCTCGGTCGCCTTTGTGTGACCCCGTTGGGGTTAGCGTACGCTGTCGAGGAGGCAAGCGCCGCCACTCTTTCGAGCTCCGCCTCGGCCTCGCCGAGGAGCGAGGTTGGCTTTCTTCCCATCTCCCCGAGGACGGTGTCTTCTTCCTCCTCCAGAGAGGATTTACTCCCCTCTTCCATTATGGCACCTCACCGCTGGTGCGGGGAGAATCCAGGATTAATGTCAGCTCACGGCAGCTGGTTCAATGATGACACGAGACTTCCATCGTAATCAAACAAAGACCTTTACTATCGGACGCTTAGACACAGGAAAAAGCCGGGATTGCCTGGACGCAGTAGGCAACCCCTTATATACACTCCCACTTGTTCGAAGGGTAGACTCTAGGGCTGGGCAGTTTCATTCGTTAATTTCGTAATTCATTATTAATTCGTTATTTTTTTTGATAACGAAGCAATATTGAACCATTCAGGAGCAACTAAAAAACGAAACGAATTTTTAAAATTTATTTCGTAATTGTTTCGTAATTGTTTCGAAATTGTTTCGTAATTGTTTCGTAATTGTTTCCGTATGTCTGGGGCAAGTTTTATAGTTGTTGTTTGTTTTATCAGTGATAAAAAATAAATTATCACACCAACAGTCAACAACAGAGGGAGAGGGAAGCTTCAGAAGTTCCCCCTGTCCCATTTGGAGGTTTTTTTAGCGTATTGCGCAATCGCGTCCGCCATTAACGAATCAATTCGTTATTGTTTCGAAATTGTTTCGTAATTTCCGAAATTTCGTAAATATCGAACTTTTTTAAAGAAAAATTTCGGAATTCTTTTAAAAAACGAAACGCAAAAACCCCCTAAAAACGAATCGAGTTTAGAAACAAATTTTTCCGTGGTTGCCCAGCCCTAGTAGATTCCCGCCAGACCCAAAACCCCGCGCAAAAGCTTCCCGCCACCAAGCAACTGCCTTCCTTCAAGGCCACCAGCTGCAGGGTCCTTATCAGGGTGAAGCGTCAGGAGTCTAGTTTTCGGCGCCAAAGTCTAGGCTCCGGAAACTGGATCCTGACAGTACAGTATGACTCCAGCATCCACAATGGACTTTTTGCCTTCTGGGCAAACATATTTCCGACGAGCATTCACAAGATATACATCTTAAGAACATTAACAAAAACATCTAATCGAGGATATGGAACCATCGCTCACTCAGGAGGCAGATTATGGATGATTTTAGTGGATAATGTTTTAACTTGTTGTTGTTGTTCATTCGTTCAGTCGTCTCCGACTCTTCGTGACCTCATGGGCCAGTCCACGCCAGAGCTCCCTGTCGGCCGTCACCACCCCCAGCTCCTTCAAGGTCAGTCCAGTCACTTCAAGGATGCCATCCATCCATCTTGCCCTTGGTCGGCCCCTCTTCCTTTTGCCTTCCACTTTCCCCAGCATAATTGTCTTCTCTAGGCTTTGCTATCTCCTCATGATGTGGCCAAAGGACTTCAACTTTGTTTCTAGTATCCTTCCCTCCAATGAGCAGTCGGGCTTTATTTCCTGGAGGATGGACTGGTTGGATCTTCTCGCAGTCCAAGGCACTCTCAGAACTTTCCTCCAACACCACAGTTCAAAAGCGTCTCTCTTCCTTCGCTCAGCCTTCCCTAAGGTCCAGCTCTCACATCCGTAGGTTACTACAGGGAAGACCATGGCTTGGACTAGGCAATGGATCTTTGTTGCCAGTCTGATGTCTCTACTCTTTACTATTTTATTGAGACTGGACATTGCTCTCCTCCCAAGAAGGGTCTCCTGATTTCCTGGCCACAGTCTGCATCTGCAGTCATCTTTGCGCCTAGAAATACAAACCCTGTCACGGCCTCCACATTTTCTCCCTCTATTTCCCAGTTGTCAATCATTCTTGTTGCCATAATCCACAGATTTGTGGCGTAATGTAAGATAAACCACGTGTAATTCACGTTTGATGAGTCCACACACTGCCTTGCCAGAGAAAGAAAATATGCCACGCAGGTGAACAGTTATTTATTTATTTACTTATTTATTTATTGTGTCATCCGCAAACAGGACTTTGTATTACATTTCCAACAGAACAAAACAAACAAACAGATTTAAAAGAACAAAAAACAAAAACACAAATTTTGCAAACTTGGTAGTTGGTTAAATGTCCTTTGACCAGTATCTGGCCACTTGGAGTGCCTCTGGTGTTGCCGCAAGAAGGTCCTCCATCATGCATGTGGCAGGGCTCAGGGTGCATTGCAGCAGGTGGTCAGTGGTTTGCTCTTCTCCACACTCGCATGTCGTGGATTCCACTTTGTGGCCCCATTTCTTAAGGTTGGCTCTGCATCTCGTGGTGCCAGAGCGCAGTCTGTTCAGCGCCTTCCAAGTCGCCCAGTCTTCTGTGTGCCCAGGGGGGAGTCTCTCATCTGGTATCACCCACGGCTTGAGGTGCTGGGTTTGAGCCTGCCACTTTTGGACTCTCGCTTGCTGAGGTGTTCCAGCGAGTGTCTCTGTAGACCTAAGAAAACTATTTCTTGATTTAAGTCGTTGACGTGCTGGCTGATACCCAAACAAGGGATGAGCTGGAGATGTCTCTGCCTTGGTCCTTTCACTATTGGCTGCTACTTCCTGGCGGATATCAGGTAGTGCAATGCCGGCTAAGCAGTGCAATTTCTCCAGTGGTGTAGGGCGCAGACACCCCGTGATAATGTCCCATTAAGAGCCCTGTTTTAGCTGGTGAGATGTGTTCCACACTGGGCATGCGTATCTCAGCAGCAGAGTAGCATAGCGCAAGGATAGATGTCTTCACTGTATCTAGTTGTGATCCCCAGGTTGTGCCAGTCAGCTTTTGTATGATATTGTTTCTAGCACCCACTTTTTGGTTGATGTTCAGGCAGTGCTTCTTGTAGGTCAGAGCACGGTCCAGAGTGACTCCCAGGTATTTGGGTGCGCTGCAATGCTCCAGTGGGATTCCTTCCCAGGTAATCCTCAGAGCTCGGGATGCTTGTCTGTTCTTAAGGTGAAAGGCACATGTCTGTGTTTTAGATGGATTAGGGATCAGCTGGTTTTCCCTGTAATAGGCAGTAAGAGCACCTAGAGCTTCGGAGAGCTTCTGTTCAACCACCTCAAAGCTCCCTGTTGAGCACAATCATCAATGGCACGATCGTCAGCATAGATGAAACTCTCTGTCCCTTCTGGCAGTGGCTGGTCATTTGTGTAGATGTTGAACATGGATGGAGCCAGCACGCTCCCCTGAGGCAGGCCGTTCTTCTGTTTCCGCCATCTGCTTCTCTGGCCCTGGAACTCAACAAAAAAGCTCCTGTTTTGTAGCAGGTTTCCTATGAGGCGGGTGAGGTGGTCGTCCTTTGTGATATTATACATTTTTCTCAGGAGGAGGCGGTGGTTTACAGTCTCATAAGCCGCTGACAGGTCTATGAAGACAGCTCCTGTGATCTGCTGCCTTTCAAAGCCATCTTCTATGTGCTGAGTCAGGTTCAGCACTTGCGATGTGCAGCTTTTGCCTTTCCTGAAGCCAGCTTGCTGTGGAATCAGACAGGGGTCTATTTTTTCCATAATTCTATGCAGAATAAGTCTCTCCAGAACTTTGTAGAGGTGGCACAACAGGGAGATTGGTCTGTAGAGATTTGGATCATTACGGTGAACAGTAAAGAACAAGTAGTGACCCCGGTATCTACAAGGTCCCATTACAGTACAAGATGACCCGGGTATTCACAAGGTCAACATACGTACAATATGATCAATTGTATCAACTCACATAATGTCCTTTTATGATAGGTTTAAAATGGTCTTTCTCTGTCCATCTGGATAAACTCCTTTAGCAGTTCATAAAGCAAGAGCACACTCAAACACTGTCTCTCTCTCTCTCTGCTTCTCTCTTTGAACTCTCTCTCTCTGCTCCTGCATAGCTCAAGTCTGAACAAAAATGTAACAGTATCCAAAAGTCCCAGGCTCAGCCATCTCCCCGGACATTGCCCAACCAATCAGCTTCATACATCTTATTTTACAGTTGATGCACACACGCATTAACTGATTCCTTGCATCTTCCAACTAGATTGTCTAAATGTCATGTATGAAGCCATGTAAGCCGCTCTGAGTCCCCCTGCGGGGTGAGAAGAGCGGGGTAGAAATGCTGCAAATAAATAAATAAATAAACGTTATCGAGTTGACACTCTAGATCTATGACGGTAATAATAGATTTTGTTCATTCAATGTGAAGTGCATGTAACCATGGATTATTTCCCATTGCTTTTGTAAACAGGGAATGGCGTATGAGAGACTCGGCATTTGCCAGAGGTATACAGTCTGGAGGATTATGTTTAATGGTATACCGCTATTAAAGAAGAGCTCGGCGTTGATAATCAAGGATCTGCTTTTCGACGACGTTCCTGTGCGAGTGTATTGGCCTAAAACATCGTCTTCCGGGAACAGAAGAGGAATGATCTATCTCCATGGAGGCGTTGGTTTGTTCGGAAGCATCAGTATGTCCTGTGGTTATCTATTAGGCATTTTTTAGAAGTGTACGGCTTTGTCCTTTAACACGAATATTTGTCCGTGAGCCATCTGAAAAAAAATTGTGTTGTTCACCTTCGATTGGATTCTCCCTACAACTTGGGACCCTTCTTTGGCCATTTTTAGTTTCATAGACATTAGTTTGGAGATAGTGACGTATTGAACAAACACAACTAACAAATAAAATTGTCCTCAAAACATTGGGAAATGTTCTATATTGCACGAGTGAAACTTTTCCCATATTTTTAGGATGGAACCAATTAGGAAATGACATTTATAACCCAGGAACAAAAATTGTGTTACAGAGTGTAATTTCTAGGGCTGGGTGGTTTCGTTCGTTAATT